CTTAGCGATTATGCATGCTGCGTGAAAAAAGAACGGCGCTGCAACAGCTCAATAGGAAATCTTCTATTGAAAAGAAGATCAATGTATTCGGAACACCCAGTATATATACCTTCGAGCAAACTCTCAACACCGAGCTGGATTCACGTATCTACAAAACGGATACACACCCACTAGCTTTCCGCCTACCTGCAGTCGCTGACAGAACTGATGTGGCACGAGACAGTTGCCTATGATATTCATCATCATTCCTTTCGAGGATAATCGGTCGTCACGCCTATAACGATCGCCGAAGGAACCGACACCGTGAGGAAGATTATTTGCTACAATATGGGAGATTTTGGATGCTCGTTTGTCGTCGGCACGAGCAGATTAGGATGACACGTTTCGACTTCCGATTCCCTAAAGCGTATTGATTTACAAACACGTATTAATCATACAATTCGATTTGCGTGTGGATTTGAAAAGAATTGAAATTGCAATTAATGTTCGAATGTTACGTGCCGATTAGAAACGTAACATCCGGAAGCGATTTTTGCGACATGAAGATATTTTCTCGCGATTAAGCGTACTCGAATGCGGGATAAAATATTGCGCGATCGCGGAAAATCTATTTTCTACACCACTGAAAGGCCTTAGGGCACCGATATGATGGAGTGTTACGGAGATTGGCGGACCACCGGAGTAATGTCCGCACTAATAGCAGTGATTACCCCTGCCTTGTTGAGAATGAACCCGCCCGCTCCTTCCAGCCTGCCTGCTCTTCAGGTTCTGCCCCGTTCTGCCTCGCGCTGCCCTGCCCACGAATTGATGGATGTTTACCAAACTAACTGCATCCTTTTCGCGCAGACTGCCCCCTGGTCATCGGCTACCACCGCGTCGAGTCCCATCGAAATCGTGGATCGATTAAATTATGCGGGATATGCAAATGCGTATCGATACGCGCTCATGCATCCTCGAGCAGAGAAACGCACAGCGAAACTGTAGTGGAAGAGTAATTATTGCCTCTCCCGGCCGTGCCGTTTTTATTAATAATAACGCTAGTGATATATGCGCGAGCAGGAGGCATTAGATCTGATCGAGAGTTATGCGCTTATTCATCAAACTTGACGAGAGTTATTATTTCGAAGATGGTGGTGCATAATTCAGAAGACGTGGCATAGACGTAGACCCGGCGGAGGAAAAGCGAGTCTCTTTATCGAAGAAGCCACTGACAGCACCGCAATCTGCCGCAAGAGTAGCTGACAGGCTTTATTATTTATCGACACGCGTTTATAATCGCGAGATGCGGAGATAACGCGGTGAAATTAATGGGACGAGATACGGTCGCGCGTTCGACGGCTGTGTTTAAAGCAATGTGGACAGGCCTTGCGCGCGGTCAGCGCCGCTCGGCCGCGGCGCGGAATAATTACAGTCGCATTATTATAACATCACTTGCACTATATCACATTGATATCATACATATGCATTGCTAAAGGAGGTCGTGATCGCATAATGTTGAACCGGTGTTCGGTCAAGGCCCGCCTTTCTGTCATTCTCCTTTAATCTTTTATGTATATTTCCTCCGATAGAAAACTGTTTGCATCGATTTCTTATCGCCGTTTGCACAATGTATATGCATAAATAGTAAAGTTTTAATAATCTCGGGCGTAAAGCGCGTCACAGAGTTATACCTCTCTGAAGCGATGAACCTGGAAATCTCTGAGTGCCGGATGATCTACGAGGAAGTTTCTATTTGCGATCGCTGATAAACGGCCCGATGTCTCGGATTTTTCGTGGCGTTAAACCCCCTCCCCCCTCCCGTTAATGGTATCTTTCTTGCGAATAAGCTTACATCGACGTATCGCACGGACCACCTGTCCGGTTGCTATCCTCTCACTCCTTCCCACCCGATTTCTCTCCTTCGCGTCGCGCGAGCGTCCCACGAGGATATTCGCAGCATGTGTCTGCGATAACTATACCACGAGAGAAGGAGCTTTAGGCGCCACGGAGCAGGTTTCCATAAAAATGCGAGCTGTCCGATCTGCCACGACGCGGCGGAGTTTAATGTCCTGTGTGACCTACCCTTTTGCGAAGCTGAAGCGATGGATAGTCCGTTTTAGATTCACTAAAAGTCAATCCGCTTTTTTACTTATAAACGCAAGCTCGAAGATGCACTCAAGTACGTAAAAATCTGAAGATTGGTAATCAAGCCCTTTAAAAATTTCTTACAACCGAACAAAAAATTTAATAATACAAATTCGATATTGATTTGAATTAATTTTGAGCGAATTAATGTTTAATAATATATGAATTTATATTTTAAGAGCAGTGTCAATAACTCTCATCGTATCGTACTTGGAGTGTACCGGTTTTACGACTCGCAGATGGAATACGCGTGTTATAGCTTCCGGATTGATATGATGAAATGCTAATAATACTTGGGGGAAATCAATTATTATTTTACGACGTTATTCCGCGTTGCTGTCCCTAAGAATAACTCAAGTGGCGACTTAATTTCCAGCGTATGCATTCGCGACGACGGCGTACCGTTATTATGCATCATCACGAGCAATTATATGACATAAATCTCTACCGCCAATAACCATTAATTCACGGATGACTGTAAGATTTTACGCTCCGGTATCTGGATTGCAGAAGAGCCCGGGCTTCTTCATCGAATTTGAGACAAAAAGTACCACATATATTCGTGGGAGGGGCGGAGTGCCATACCGCCGATTATTTGTTTTAGATATTAATGCTCCTCGCGGACTATCAATAATTCATTCCCGACGTAATCGCACGGTGGTGCATCCTCTATCTTTAACATACGACGCTGCGGGACAGACGGAGAATGGTAGAAGGGGAAAGAGAGAGGGAGAAAGAAAGAGAAAGAGGAGCGGGGAGGAGAAGAGGGACCCGTGTAAACGATAAATCACGATAAATACGTTTGCCTGGGCCATTATAAAAGGTGGAGGTGGAAGAAGGGAGGAATCGGCGCGATCGAGGAGGCCAGCCCCGGCGAGGAGATACGCACAAAAGGGTGCAGCAGCGCGCGGTCCGATATGCAGTCCCTCCCTGGGGCCACTCCTGGGTGCATCCTCTTTTGCGGCCGCGCATTACGATCGCTTAAGTCTCGGCTCGACTATCGAGTGATCCATCGCCTACGAATTCGACGAAGCCTCCCGCCTACCCTCGGGACATCCTCGACTAATGAGCGTGTCTCGATCGTGAACGACCGGTCTCTCTCGCTCCCTCCTTATTCCTCTTCCTTTGCTATCCTGCTCTTCGCCTCGTTCTTCTCTCCTCGTCTTCTCTCTCTCTCTCTCTCTCTCTCTCTCTCTCTCTCTCTCTCTCTCTCTCCCTCTCGCACTCTTTCCCTCCTCGCTTCCAGGTGCGTTCAGCGTTCCTTCTTAAAAAGGATTCCAATTAAGGGAACCCGAATGAGTTCGTACGTTCTATTCACGGGCAAGTCCGTCGGTCGAGATATAACGGGGACGACAGGTGGACACAGCGAAATCCTTGGGCATGCTCCGAGAAGCATGCACGGCGATAGGATCGTTAGCGAGCGATTATTGAAACTTTCCGAGGATACTTGGCATATATTAAATAATGCGCTGTTAAAGAGAAGTTACGCGCAATCCTGAAGTATTCGTAGAACACGTATGATAAAAATTTTATATTAACAATTGACGAACGCTAATTATCATTCTTAAGACTAATTGAATTTTTCAAGCAATATGATGCATTTCTATCGTGGATGCGCGATCATCGAAACGTATATTTCACGAATTTTGCTCGCGCGACGACGCATCGCGCTAGACACGCGATTTTGCTGCGAGATGCCTATCGGTTAGGTGGGAAAGTGTGGTAGTTTCAGTACATTCCTGAGAAGTTGTTCGTTCGCCTATGCCACCGATGTGTGGTTAGCGCGATGGGACGAAGTGATGGGAGATAGGGAAGGAGAGAGACGGAGAGAGCGGGTAGGCAGATACCGGGCCCCGCGGGGGGCTCATAATTGCCGACCCTGAAGATCGGTCGACCCCATGGGGCCCTCCTCTGTTTGTTTTATTCCCTAGTTATACAAACGCGAGATCTACGACCGATATATGATAATCGTCCTTCTAGTTCTTCCAGTTCGCCTTCCTTTCTCTCTCTTTCTGCTCCATCCTACCCCGCATCTTATCTCGACTTTCCTGTCGTTTTACTTTTTTTTTTTTTTTTTAATTGTGTTAGCTGCACGAGTATAGGGTGCCCTATGGACACTGATAGACAGGGACACGTCCGAACTAATTCTAACCAGAATCTGCTTCTATCGGTGCCGTAGAAGCTTTCGCCACGTCTCATCATTTACGACGCACGCTTATTCAAATTCTACGACGGCCGAAATGATTGATTTTCTTCGTTATGAACGGCTACCTTAGGCTCTCGCGTTCGTCAGTTTAAGAAAGGGCAGCGTAAAATATTATCCCGAACATTTAATATGTAAATAGTGGGCGTTGCTATTATCGCATACATTTTTAAATTGTGAGCGCGGTGTTAATGCACGCGCTGATAAAGATGCATTCACGATGGATAATGAAACAGAGTTGAGAAACGGTAAAATATTCAAAAAAGATAATGTTACTTGAATTGTAAAATAATGCAAATACGAATCGCATTACAGAATTGGTATTCTTATTGTATCCTCCATCGATTTTAAAGGCATTAAATTTTTTCACGTGTAACCTACTTCATAAGTCATTAATTTGATATCAGTTCTTTCTCTGTCAACTTTGACTTTCCATGAAAAACAGTTTTATCGCCAAGACAACCAGTGACTATATTTCAAACAGATAACACCGCGAATGTAACAAGTCGTTCCAAATACATATATTATATACATATCTTATACATATATTCTATTTTAATGAAGAAAGGTAAAGCGACTAATTATCAAAGATTATGTAAACAACGCGCGTCGCGACAAAGACAAATAATATGTGCTCATTGTGCTTTTAGAAATATTTTAATCTAGTACTCACCTCACTGTCGATCTTCTTGAACTCCGGATCATCCTCGTCCACCTCGAAATACAGCTCCGTAGATGTAACGGAAATGATGCCGGGTGCCACGATACCGGGTGCGATTAATCTGCCTTTCGTGCTAATGTTCACCGGACCTAAAAATAAGATATAAACAGTTAAATTGGTGCGTGCAAACAGCAATGCAATAAAAATAAATTGCCTCGGCATATGTGTAACCCTTTTTATTTGTTAATTATAAAAATGTGCATAACTTTTCTTGTTTTTATTCATGCATCTTGCAAATTATCGGTAACATTCTATTTTCTCGATATGTGGCGCATAGAAATTGGAAATTAAACGCGGAAATTAAAATAACAAATAACAATTGACGACCGATATTTAAATAACGAATACAAACTGCAGCGCAAAATTGATAAAATAAAACCGGTTCGCGTGGTCTGTAATATGCCATTAAAATGTCGCGTCTCGTTTATCAGCAACGGGACGCCGACTAACCTGTCAGGTCGTTGTCGAGATCCCTGTCGTCCGACAGCAATTCACTGTCATCCATAAGATCCGCCGACTGCAATTGCTGTTGGTGTGCACGCGAGGCTGCGAGGTGCGCGTGGAACTCTTCACGCGCTTGAAGTATCGCATCCTCGGGTGCACCATGTTCTAGAGCCGCCTTGAGAGTAGCCTCGGGGTGGCTCGAGCCTAGTGGATTGTGCACGAAACGCTTACGTCTACGTGCATCATCCTCCCAAGCATCCAGCTTCCAGTATTCGGCCAATCTGTGAAAGCAAAAACATCAAACAAAATGTAGAAAATGATGATAATTTGTCAAAACAATTTAAAGTAACGATTGTATTTGTATTTACTTTGCAGCCATTGGATCCATGTATCCCCATGCACCATGTTTATTCGACAGGATATTTCGGACTTTCTCCAGCAGTCTGCTGGCAATCACGTTGTCGCGTCTTCGCGCTGCGGTGATTAGATGATCGCACATGCGTTCTTCTTCTCGACGGTCCAGTAATGTTTGCGCGCATTGAGACTAAATATCGCAAGAAAAATATCACATTAATGTTGTAACATTGAATAATTAATAGTAATTTTAATAATTTATCTTTGTAATAAAAAATGTATCGGTACTAGGAAGGCTCGCGCAAACGTTCTGACGACAAAAACTCGTCGGATCTATTTACAAGGCAATAAAATAAAATTGCAAGAAGAAATACGAGCGATACCTCAAAGTCAGCATGCTTCAGCACGTCATCCGCTCTCATCCTGTTTAAAATGAACTCTGCCTCATTTGCGACTCTTACTATGTGATCCTTCATCGCGTGAGATAGCAACCTGTGTAACACAAGAAAGCATTTTCATGAAGGGAAACGAGAACGTTTGATTTTGTTTTGTTTGCACGCGCTCTAGCCGTAATAAACGTCTTACCTTCCCTCGTTAATGAGCTCGATGAAAGCAAGTCCGGCGTGCTTTTGCAAAGAGTTTTGCCATTCCTGAGAGCAGAGAAGCATAACCAACTCTACGACGGAGTTGCTGTTCTTAAATGTGGTCAAACCTGGCAAATAACAAACAAGGATTTTTTAAACGAGTGAACGAGGAATAACAATGAGTGATAGAGAGGTGAACGGAAAAAACGCGCGATGTCATGATTTACAGACTGTTCAATGTATTGATGATTGTTAAAAATAAATCAATACGTTCCTTGAATATAAAATTCGCGAGAATTATCGCGGCTTCTACACACATGTATCGTGAATACTAATGATGAGCGATTACTCGGAATACTCGCTGACCATCTTTCTAAAGTGAAATCATAAAGTGACTAATTTGAATACTCGGTGTGAAATGCCAGAATCGCTTATCCCATAAAAGTGACGAAAACCCCGTCATGTATGCGCATTTGAGTGGACTCTAAATTTTTATTTATTACACGGATCTAAATATTTTATATATTTTGAATATTTCACACGAACACTTGAGTGAATTCTTATAAACTTTTTTTTATCTTTTTAACGAGGATATAATATATCAATTACGGAGGCTGTTTTCTATATTTTAATGACCGTTTAGACTTATTTTAACGTTTTAGGCACGCGTTTACGACTTAAATAATAAATTAATTCACGACCTTTCAGAAAAAATAATGCTTACATCGTGTTAAATGTCACAAGTGTAAGAAATTTTTTTGCGTACAAGTATGAGAACAAAGAGAAATTTAGCGCTGTGCCAAAATACATACAATAAATATTTTATTGCAATTAAGTATAGTAAAGAAATAATATAAATAAAATATTAATATTAAATATTATGTCTACGTAAAATAAGAGTTCTCCAATTCTTTACAATTTTTTTTATCCGTGGGCGTGATATATCTCGGCATCGCTTAGAAAACATAGACCATGTTACGACTGTTCTCCGCGTAATAAAACCCAACATAAAATATGTCTTTTTTATCTATCGAACGTCTCAGACATTCGGTATCACATCGCGAGCGCATAAAACGCAGGAACGCGAGAGTCGTGATTTCCTTTTACATCTGATTTTACATGCATGTACATATATAATAACGTCACTGCGTTTTTATAGTGCAATTTATGCAGGGTGTTCGAAAATCACCGAATAATATTTTAACAACAAATCTTACGAATTGTTCGAGACAGACAATTCCTTCACAGACATGCACACACTCAACACCAAAAAGTAGCCGTACGTTTGACATACCCTTGCAACTCGTACCTTTTCCTTCCATTAACAATTCTTGACCATGGGAGCCAACGAGTGTTTTGGACAGGAAGGGGGCAAAATCCACCATGATTTCCCGAAGGAGTGGACAAACCGAACCGAGGGCCATTTCCAATTTTTGCGTGAGTGAGGCCTCGCGGGAAGGTGTCGGAACAGGTAAATGGTCAACTAGACCTTTAATCGGTAATTCGTCCGCCCGCGGGGATGCTGCGGTTACCACTAGCCGATCGGGAACTCGCACCACCGAAATTTCCGCCGACGGCTTTTCCCCCCGTTCCGCGTTGCCGAGCATTTCTTGTTCCAGAACATTGCCTTCGCTGTCTTGCATGTCGCCTGTGTATTTCAAAATATGCATCTTGTATTATATGGAAAATTAATAAAACTCTTAAGATTACGATTATAAGAATCATGAGTAATTACGCAATTACGCTTTAATTGATTCAAATCTTACCACGAGAGTGAGCAATATTGTGAATATTTCGCGGATCCTCTCTCGGATTCGTAATTGGCATCGTGTCACCATCTTCATTGAGGTTTACGTCTGTCCAGGCTTCTTCGGACGAATTATGCTTATTTTCGTTGTCGGTGGTAATTTCAGAAGGACTCGGGTCCGCGGTGATATTGCTGCGGTGTACTGTTTCCTCGCTGGAGTCGTTGCTCTGATAGAAAGTCGATCAAAAAAAAAAGGGGGAAAAATGAAATGAGTTTGTATCTATTTCAATTAACTCGACCACAAATCGTTAATTTAGCAGAACGCATAGTTTGAAAAATGTATACGAGTATATGTGAAATAAATTTGAAATATAAGTTATTTCTGCTAATCTGAATAAAAGCATTTAAGAATTCTTTTTCCTCGTTGTTGAACTTTATATTAAATTAGCAAAAAACTTCTAAGTATCTCTGTTAATTATTATGTAAAATTATTCAGATATATTTTCAGACCTTGGAGTGCTATTTTGCTACAATACTGAAATCTCTTAACGGAAATCTAACTATATATTTGACCACAGAAACAATTTCATATGATAATTCCATACAGTTCTATTTCATGATAAATTCTCGCGTGCCATGTACTTACATGCAATTAGTAGTACACCATTACTACGCAATCAACTAATATATCATAGAAAAAGAAAGAATCAAGCCAATATTAGATATTCAAGCTTCGCGATAGCGAACTTAGTGATTCTACCTAATAAGACCAAATGATTGTTTACGCGTGTAAGGACCGCTACGTATTACATTATGACAACATTACATAAGCAAAAGGAAGTAAATCAAGTTAAATCGCTCTCTCTCTTTCTCGCACCCGTCGAATGGGCATTGTTGCGCGTTGCGTATCTTCTCGCATTTTTTTTTTTACAAGTACAAGAAAATTTTAGAGAATTAAAAAAACACACGTTCGATCGCTGCCAAAACGTGACCGGTCGCCTAAATTCGGGAATCGGATTCCCGTCAACGTTTCATCCCGATCTGTATTCTAATTAACTTTTACCTGCAGATTTCGTGGCAGTGGTTCGGACCTTGTAGAAGTGCCAAGCGTTGGTTCTGATGAGGTGTAATCCTCGAGAATAGTCCGCGGCCGAGGTACACCACTGTGACCTCCCTTCAGAACCAGTAGTTAGTACGCATAGCAATGCAAGCAGAGGAAGTTAACAATGAGAGAGATTCAAGAGTCAAAAGTATCGCATGCTCGATGGGGTTAAAAATAAATACATGATTCGATTCTCGGTGCGAATACGGAATTTCGTAGAACCGGGACTCACACGATAACGCCGGATCTCGAATTTCATGAAATGAGATACATATTACGTGCGAGAGATATCTAATTACGAGAGACTATAATTGAGATAACGATTGTTACGCTGGGACTACGTGAATGCAAAAACACCAATCGATAAATCAACATTACATGCTGGACATTGCAATAAATTTTCAACTACGGCAGATCTCGAAATCATGTAATTATATGAGGAAGATTGACTAAATGTGTATATACTACACTTAAGATTCATATGATTGACAAATAATCCAAAATGCTAGAATTGCAAAGTTGTGCTTTTAAGGTTAACATACAATGCAAGATTTACCTTATTACTCGAGTTTTAATATACGTAAGTTATCTTTGAGCTGGTCTATTGTAATTACACAGTTTATCGAATGTTTTGTTGTAGAAACTCTATAATTTATCATCGTGACGAACAATACACGTGATAAATTAGTGCGAAGCATTGTGCGATGGCACAAGTGTCTAGTCGTTACTGCAGTGAATACCTCGCAAGATCGTGCGTGATGAAAAAGTGCTAAATTTACATTGCTATTAATATTATTTAAAATGTTGAGCGTAAAGAGAGAAGTATTTAGGGCAGTGTCAAAAGAAATATGTAAGTTCAATTAAACGTTTAGAAAAACCCGTACTCGCTATGTAGAGCTGTGTAAATGTAAAGCGATAGATTGAAATATCGAATCTTGTGTCTACGTCATCGATCTATTGAAACGCATGCAGTCTCGAGTAAAATCGTCATAACTTCATAGAACCATATATATATTGTTTTATACCAATTAAAACTATGCTCGATAACTATTGAATTAAACGTCATACGAGACGAAATTTATTTTTACCTGAGATTTTCGGTTCAATTATTCTCGATGTAGAAGTCTTTCAAATATGTTCGATAGGAGGCGGTAGGGGTCGGTAGGGGTCGTTCAATTCAAGTCGTATCGAAATTTTGAGGAAATTGCTAACTTCACATCGGATGATTATCTTACCTTGGTAGATGGCGGGCCTGATGATGTGACGTCATGGTCCGCCAAAATTGAAGAATTGTTCTCGTCGACAATGATGACTTCGTATTCGCCGTCGTCTTGAGAACCCGATTGACTCATTATACCTCCGCTACCTGAGAACATCGTGATTACGGTATGTATTAAACATAGAGAAATATGCAGGCTTTTTGTTGCAAAGCCAGTTGATATTCATACACATGCCTCCAACGATTGTAGCAAGTGGGCTCTTGTACATGGTACATGTAAGTGTGTTGATCAAATTATGTTGAAGTTCATATCTTGTTAAAAATGTACAAGATCAGGATAAATTGCAACATCCATGTAAAAACGGAAACACAAAATATTTTTCATTGGCTACATTAAATAGAGAATGTGCAAATTTCGCGAAAAATCATACAACACAACATTTATAAAAGCAGTTCAATTGTTCAGTCCTTATGATTATAAGAAACACCAGCTTTAATATTGCAATTGATTAATTTTTTTAAAAGTATAGGATTTAATTATATTAGAAAATGTCTATCGTGAGAGAGATTTGTAGAACAACCGGTGTTCCTTAAATTTTATCTATCAAGTAACATAAAACATAAAAGATAATCACAAAATGTGTCATGTAGTATTCATAATATAATAATAAAAGAATACACACATCGGGTTAAATTATTGCACAAAATTCAAATTCGTTTTTGAGGTACACAAAAGAGACTATCGTTTCAATCAACTACAGCAAATTTTTCGAACATCTACACGTGTATTCCATTAATTAACATCATCAATCATTTATTAGCTTTTAGAAAATATCTTTGTCTTATTCATGCGTGTGTTTTGTTTTGATTAATAATAGGCGCAATATCACAATGGAAATACATATTTAAGGTACATGCTATAGAATATAAGGCATTTTTAAATTAATATTTTCCACAAGAATATGCCAAAATATAACTGCTTTATGTAATCAACATGCACTGCGAGCCTTTTAAAATTAATTAAACGGCATAAATAAATTCATTTGATTTCAATCAGAAATAAAATATAAAAAATAATCGGTGCATCAATCAGAGTAATTGGTAATTTATTTTAAATTAATATAATATAATTTAATTTAATATAAACGACTAATTACTCTGATTGATTAAACTGATTATCCTTGACATTTTATTTCTTATTAGTATATGTCATTATTGGAAAAGTAAAGTAAATGAAAGAAGAACGAAGAAATTAATTAAATTTTCTTTGGGACCTTTGAGAGCTGACTATGCAGCGTATATTTTCTTAAAGACAATTTAGAGAGATTTGTGTAGTGTGAGAAGGGATCGGTAGCACATATACAACATCGAAGAAATAACGAGAAAATTGCGCGTGGAATTGCGCAAGAACTCGTTCATATCAATAAGCGTCGTGCAGATTATAGGTCAACGAACAAATAGGAACTGCGTAATAAATCAGGCCAAAAGAGAACTCGGGCATTCCGTGAAACAACTTTCGGATTTTCGAGTTACCTTGCAGACCGACACCGGAGTTTCTATGACAGAGATTTCGGGGCTGATCGATATGCTTTTGAAGCGTATGGTGGTGGTTGTTGTTATTGTGGTGATGATAGTGATGATGACGATGATAGTTATGGTTATTCGGGTGATGGTTATAATGATTGTTGTGGTGATTCGGGAGATAATAGTTAGAGGGTGGCTGGCGATTAGAGTGCCTGGCAGCCGGTAGCGGGTGCTGGTGATGGTGCTGGTTGATGTGATGGTTGGCATTGGCATTGACATTCGCATTGGCGTTAGGGTGAGATCCCGGGAGGAACTGTGGGTACACGTGGTGAGACCACTGTGGAAATAAGGGCCGCCCTCCTCCACCACCATTCCCATCTGCCGAGGAATCACATTTACCACGTTATCGGGTCGTGCGCTCTCACCTCTATCGCTCGCGATCCATAGCGCATTCTTTTGATACTGTCTTTCACTCTACGAACACTCGGTGAACTTAATTTATACATTTAAGAATACGGACAATGTTTTAGAAAAAGTATTAAGCGTTTTTAAGTTATAGAGTGAAATTCAGTAAATAAAATTTTATTGTATTATTTTAAATATATGTTATTGGGTGAATTGCAAGTAATCGTAAATTGATGATGCTCATTTTTAATTCATATTATAATATAGATTTTAAAGAGGAAAAATCGATATTAATAAAAAAAAAAAACGGTATCGTCTGCATCGATCTGAATATTGAGTACGCTCGTAATGTATTATTAATACATAATATTCAATCACTGGAGTATAACATCTCGAAAGAACTTATTTCATGACACAATTTGTTGATTTGTTAAACATTCAAATATTAATCATGTAGCAGCAGTCATAAAGACATCTATCATTTGAAATTCCTCACATAAAATAGTTTCACATCCAAGAGAATACAACCACAATAATATGACGCAAGTATCTTTGTAACGCAAAAAAAGTGCAAACACATTCGACAAACATCAAAACTCTCACTGTCAGATACATATAGGATGTTTACTTCATACAGTGCAATAACACATGCGTTCTACTTAGTGTCATGTGCTGTTGTTTTAGTTGCAGCTACAAAGTTTTGGTGCACAGTGTTTGAACACGCTAGCTACATCTGTACATATATCCACGCTATTTATAACATTCATCATATTTCATTCATTTACAACATTATTGTAACAGAGAATTCTTTAGTCCGCAACTCTGTAAACTTACTAAAAAATTATATAATAATTTTTTTGGCAGCAGCGTACCAGTATTAAAATTTCGAAGAAGATAATTTTATATTGTCTAAATACTAATTAAATAGCCATGTTTTTAACAAAACAAAAATTATCAATTTCTTTTTTATGCGTTTATATAGCTGCAGTCATGCTATAATATCAGAAACCAATTATGAATTAACACTCACTAATCAAATTTAATTTACTTATTTATTGTGTTCTCTAAAAAGAAAGAGAGAAAGAGGGGAAGAGAGAAAGAGAAAGAAGAAAGATAAGAGAATATATATCTGACACGTAAGAGTTTTGAGTAAATAGAAATTTCTTAATAAATGTTTAATATTCTTAAAGAGAGAATATATACGTAAATGTTCAACGTGCAAAAACATTACATTTTCTGTTATAATTTTTTAATTTAATAATAAACGATTATCTAAAAAGCAGTATTAAAAATATTTAGAAATTATACAATTTTCTAAACTTTCTAGATTATGTTATATTATTATCAAACATATTATTATGTTACTTTTTATATTATTTTTTTATAATTTATAAGTTCTTTGCAGAATGCATACCCCATAGTAATATTTATTAAATTTTTCGAAATATTTTGATGAAGAGAATAATTCCGTGAAGTTGTTGTGTATATAGTACTTTGTAAAAATCATTTGTAATTTATTTGACATTTTGTTAAAAATAACTTTATCGAATTTTGTGTACCGATATTTGCACAAATCATTTTTTTCTTAGTGTTAGTGATATGAATAAAAGATGAGGATCTCACCTGAAGGGCTACCTGGCCTGAGACCAGCACCGTTTGTCTGTATTGTTTGGACTGGACTCGGTGGGCGCTGTGATATTGGTGGTTCCAATATGTCACGATATTTAGAAACCATTAATACAGAGATGAAGTAAACTATAGCTAGAGACAGAAACTGTGCCTGCTTGGTTTCTTCCTGAAATTGACACAAACAAAATTCAGTTTTTCCATTTCGTTCATACATGATTGTTTTAAATTAATGAAAAAATTGTTTACAATGATGCACTCTTGTAATTCACAATACTCACAACATCTCTGTATATTACAGCTCTCAAACGATTTACGTCCATATCCTGCAACAATTTCTCGGGATCCTTTACAGGGCTTAACTGATGCGTAAGATTATCCACGATGTTCTATAAATGAAAAAACATTTCGATATATTATTCAACATCGAGTTATCGGAATAGTTATTCCTTAACAAATGGAAATTAGTGTTCTAGGCATAAATGTATGCTTATCGCTGTTATTAACAGCGTTATTAAAACGAGTTCGATCGGATGAAACGTACCTTAGGCGATGTTTGAGCCCCGCGTATTAGCGACTGTATATGCTGTGATTTATTACTAGTACCAATCTGCCGACCTAACATGCTGTACGATCTGCCACGTTCTTTACACTCTAAGCAGTTTCTAACGGCACATGTACAGACCTATAGAAGCAGTTTATTAGGTGAATACAACAAAAGATGTTGTGTAAATATATATTAAATTTCTAACTTCTTTTCTAAAGTATATATGTTGGAGTTAATAAGAACATTACAGCTATTTCTTACATTAGTTTTTTTTGAAAACTATAACTCTAAACACTTCATTTTCTAAAAAATATAAAATTATAATTATTTATCAATTTTATATTGCAATTTTATATAGAAAGAACGGGTTAAAAATTATTATTCACAAATACAAAATTATACACTACATTTTGTATTTTTTAAGTGTATTAATTGTACTGTATAGTTTTTTTTTAAATTTCATGCATGCCACATTTTCACTAAAATAGATATACATAAATGTATAACAAGATTTACTACCGTAAATGTAGTTTTTTGTTCGTGTATTAAATTAAATCTTTATTTATATATGATTGTATTGTGGTATTTTTTGTTAAAAAATATCGCACATATAATCATACAAAGCAAAAACAAAAAAAAAATTTAATATTCACATAATAATTTTTATCTTCTTTCTAGAATAAATTTTGCTGTATATTCTATATTTTAGTGATATCAAGTGCAAAAGTCACACACAATTAATGTGCATTAACATTTACATCTTTCTAGATTGACATGACTTGTTAAAATTGTTCATCTTCAAACTGCATAATAATACCTAAACATTATAATTATCTATCTATTCTAAATAGGATGTCAGCACATTTCGTCCTGAATTCACTAAATACCTTTATACACAGAAATACAAACCAGTCGTAAGCATTGTCGCAATATGCCGCCGCTCGACATATTCTTCTCAGCCTCCAGTTCTCCGAAGTTTAACGAGCTAGCGAATATAAGTACATCAGCCATGTTGACTAGTCTTTGCAAAAAAGAAACCGCCACCTCGATTGGCATCCCCTGAGTTGGCTCGATTACGTCCAATTCGCTCTAGAAGTATCAAATTAATTATTAATAGTTGTTTATAAAAGAAATATTTCTATTATTTCTTTTAGTCGCGTATATACGAGCGAGAAAAGAAATTTACGTACATTTGGCGAGGTGGCCGATGCTAATAAGGGCAACAAACCGCCGCAAGCTATTATGAGATTGTCGGCTAATTGCGAAATTAGATGGACAGTGTTCACCACGAAAATGGCATTTTCGCTGCTGTTTACGAAATCCAACACAGACTTCGTAGAGTGACTGCAACACATAGATTAACGTAGAACTTTGTCAAAGTTAAACATCAGTATGTAGCATTTCATTTCCTACCTTCTCCATACTTGAATATCCGTTTCCAAAGAGAACAAAACGTCAGACAGCAAACGTTGATGTATGTAAGACCATTTAAACTCCGGTATTCTGAACGGAGGTCGCGTCGGGCCTGGACTGAACATCGGTCGCGTGGAAGGATTTCCTTGCTTCGATCTTTTGGCTTCTGCGATAAAATAAACGCATGAAGAAATTAGAAATAGATCTTATTTACGGTAACTCGTACGGACACACAATTTCAATTCGTTAACTCACCAAAATGATTAGGATCCACCTGCGTGGACGTTGAGGCACTCCTTGGTCGCTTTTGGGGTGACGATGTTTTTCGTAGGGGTACAGGCAAGGAGGGTGGCTCGTGACCGTTCTCGTCCGCGACCGTCTCCGAGGACACGATCGGCAGGCTGGATCTGCGGTGGGTGTCTACGTGATCTGGAGTTAAGTCATTCAATAACGCATTGTCCCTGGCAACCACATTAGAACTAACGATTTGAGGCACACCGTCGGATAAACTTTTAGTTGCATCACAGACCGTAGATATTGTTGGGATTTGCTGCTTAGGATTTGGCACTTGCGTCACGTTATCTACAGAACTTTGAACATCGCTATTACTACAAACACTATCTGTTACTTCTACCTCGTCAGTCGTCGCCGGAACGTCTGACTTATTATCACTTACGCTAGTAGAAATAGTGGACGGCTCCCTTGAGTGTTTCTCATTTACCTTCGCGTCTTCGTTATCATTAATAACAGCACTTTTGTCCTCCGTTAAAGTATCCGCAGCGCGTTCGTCGTTACTTAACGCACTATTCACTACTGCGGCTGGTTCCGCCTTCTCTTTTTCTAGATCTACCGTCTTCTCCGTGCAAGCCTCGTCGCTTTCTACTACGCTAGTTGAGCAATTGGGATTTTTTACAGTTTCCTCTGCGTCGTTCTCAGCAGTCTCAACGATAATGTCTTTCTCTTCGGAAGTCTTCTCGGTGACGGTGTCGTCGTCGATTTTCTCACCCTCGGACGCTCTGCTTCTTACCTCGCCCGAGCTTTCTTGATTCTCGGTTGGCGTTAAGTACGCTTCTGATGTATCACTGTCAACTATCTCGCGGTCGTTCTCCAACTGAAGTTTCTCGATAACTTTAACTGTTAACGCTTCCCGCGTTTCGTCGGAGGGGACAATTGGCACGGTGTCTTCTTCGGTATCGGCGTCATCCTTTGAAATAACAGAGTCAATTGCATTTTCGACTGTCGTTGTGGTCTTGTCGGAATCTTCGGTGTTGGTCGGCGTGTTACTGTCGTCGGTCGCTGTATTGCTCTCTTCGACAGATTTATCTTTTGCTTCCTCGTCTGCAACCACTGGATTTTCAGCTTTCTCCAACGTTGTAGAAGTTGTAGAAGTTGCATCGGGAATATTGGTATCTTTTTCAGTTTCTTTCGCGTCAGAGATATCGGTATCTTTTGCAATTTCGTTTGTGTCAGAATTATCAGTATCTTTCACAGTTTCCTTCTCAATATCCTTCTCAGTATCCTTCGCAGTTTCCTTCGCAGTTTCCTTCGCAGTTTCCTTCGTAGTTTCCTTCTCAGTTTCCTTCGGAGTTTCCTTCGGAGTTTCCTGCGGAGTTTCCTGCGGAGTTTCTTTCGCAGTTTCCTTCGCGTCATTCGATTCAACAGCTGCTAATTCCGTACTTTCTTTAATCGGTTCGGTCGAAGGGGATTCGCTTTCAACAGCTGGTTGTTTTTCGGAAACTGACTGTTTTTCGGTGTCTTCTTCCTTCTTTAGCGTGTCCTGTATTATCATCGAATCGGGACTGGAGCTCTCAATTTTGTGCACTTCGCTGTAGAAGTCGCTTGAGCTTTCAATCGATATCACTTCGCTGGTCTCCTGCGTGGTTGGCAGCGAGACAGCTTCGCTATTCGCTTCTTCAAGAATGGTCGGTGTCTCCGTGTGAGTCTCACGCGCGGTAGTCGGTGTTTCCGGTTTGTCGCTTAATCTGGAGTCCAACGAGACTACTTCACACGATTGCAGAGTGTCCAATGTCTCGCTGCGCGATTTTACAATGGCTGGACTACCGTCGCTCTCGGTATTGTCTATTGAGTTAAGATCGCAGCTACAAGATTCTTCCAATCGATCGTTTGCCTCGGATGCGTCGAATTCCTGTAGTATAAAAAAAATATTAACATAACATAAAGGCAAAAATTATAAAGTAAAATGATTGTCAAAATCAAACAAACATCCTACGATTTTTGAAATTACCTTGTAATTCCTTTCCATGTGTTGTATCTCGTGATTTTGCTGGTTGCCCCACGGTGCTGGTCTGCTGTAACCGTTGCTTCCGGAATGCTGTTGATCCCATCCGGAAATCGTGCTGATCGGCCTTTGCTGTCTTAGCTCAGGATCCGTAATATTGTCGGATCTCTGTCGCTCGTAATGCTCGTACATTTGGGCAAATTGAAGCTTGAATTCTTCGTAGGACACCTATACAAATATTATAAAAAAATTTTAAACATCTTGTGCTGGTGATATAATATTGATGATGTCAAAATCGCAAACTTACTTTAGAGTGCACGATAGCTAGTGTGTCAACCCACACACGCCAGCCGCCGTACTCGTGTTTGATAGCGTGATGGAGAAGCATGCGAAATAAGGAATACACCATGTCGGATATCTTCTGTTCCTCCGTATTCTTCGGGTGGATATAAGCCATGGCGATAAGCCACTCCTGCCACACGGACATTTGCAGGACCGTTCGTCGGTTTTCTCGATTATTATTGCAAAGCAGCGTCATGTCCGAAAGGAATAATTTCTTCACCTCCAAAAGTTGCTCCGTTTGCTTTGATTGTCGAATTAATGTCGCGACTACTTTCAGGATCACTGAAAAGCAAAGAATTTTAACATATTAATAGAGGGAAAAAATTTCAATTTGCTCACAATTGTAAGGCAGTTGTCTGCTTACTCGGATTTTCCAAACGATAATGGGATTCAGGTTCGGGATGTCTAGCATACAATATTTGCTGACTGATGTGCTCGGTCATAATCTGAAATTAAATTTGAATAAAAAATTTAATAAGCATTCACAAATATGCATTAAAAAAAATAGATAAAAAATCATAAATACGAACCTCGTATAAAACATTGTATGTCGGCAATGAGAGTGTTTCTTCGTTTAATAAGAGTCTTTCGGCTAATAACGTATACAGATTATGCGGGCTCATGACGTCGTATTTCCGTCTGCATATATTAAATAATATTAATACTTTTTGAAAATGTTTAGTCGCCCAAATCATTTATGAAATATTGCTTACTTGTGTGTGCTGCGGCTAAGGAAGAATCCTAGCAGCTTTAACGCTTGTAAACGTATTAGTTGGCTTTCAGCTGCCAAGAGTTTGAAAATTGTTCGTACGCCTTGTTTCGCATCAAATGCTGGTACCATCGATGACGGATGTTCCGACATCAAGGATATGAGCATTTGTAAAACATCGTGCAAATTTTCATCCTGCAAAGATTATCACAGAGTTATAAAAACACTTTTTATATATTATCATATTTTACATACAGATTATTATTCAAAATTACCTCGTGCATCGTCGTTAGGTAATTCAGAATGCTTTGTAATTCATCGTCTTTCACGCCGTTACCGATCATTATCAATTGTTTTAAAAATAATAAAATGTAAGAACGAATTGTTAAAATGTCTTTCTGTTGCGGACGCGGTCCATCTACAAAAAAACATAGTTCATATAAAGCATTATTTTATTTTATGCTGTAGGGATGAATTTGCATTCGATGTTGCCGGTATTTAATGACGTACCAAGTCCCTTTGGTGTTATTCCGCTTTTGCCTCGAGGATTAGCCACCCAATAATAGTACTTGAGTGTGTGTACTGTTTGCAAAACTGTCGATACACGTCTCACATTGGAATATATCTGCGTATCGCTAAGAAACTCTGTGGCCAAGTACGAATAAAGCCGCGTCTGTACTGGCGCGGGCGTATATATCCACAGAGCGGGATTAAAAAGGACATGATCCAGTAGCTGCCATGTTAGGAATGAAAAATAAAACAACTACATCACCATGGATCTGCCTGTTCTTCGGACACACCAATCTAGCCGACTTTTTATATTTCCCCGAGCCATATGTTATTATCTTGTATTATTACGTATTACACATTAATATAATTTGCGCGATCAAGTTATCCAAAACACTTAGTGTACAAAATATTATTTCCATAACGTATATATGTACATCTTTGTTACATAATTTTTTGTTTTATACAAATTTATTTCTTTTAGTTTTGATAATCGATGCAAATATGTGAATATGTGATAAAAAATATATAGTATTAGAAATGAAAATTATGTTGGAACATTGTAGATTTTTTAACAATGAGTAATCGTAGATAAATATTAAACATGAAGTATTAAGCTTACGGAAATAACTTGAAAGCGATACGCAAATGGCATTGCTGTTACATATAATAACAATTATTACAAAAAAAAAATAATTAAAATTGATATAGAACATCATGAGTACAGAGAGATGTTCGTGCATATATATGTCGATTGGAGAAAAATTTAAAGAACAATATTAAATTATAAATTTAGGACCATACAGTAGATATATATGGATTGATACATTCTGGAAATCGAAAAACACTTTTGAATTGACACAATTAATAACACGATTATTTGATATCGTGTATTTTTCCACAAGAAATGCTGCATCGATTTTATATTAAATTGACATTAAACTGGAAATAAATTAAAGGTATATTAAATGTGTAGTTGCTGTTTAAATAATGAAATTAATTATTTCTCATATTGTATGCGTTTTTCCGTCAAAATTGGATTATATTAAATTTATATTTAATAGACTGTAAACAAATCAAATGTGTGTATTAAAGGATTGGTATTTTAATAATTGAATTAAGTTAGATATCGGAAAACTTATGACAATTAAAAACAATATGATATGTGACAGGATTTTGCTGATAGTGCATGTTCGAAGATAGAAGAACATAACTTTTCATGATAGCAGAGACAGACGAAGAGTCTTAGCGTCGCAAAATAAGAATTATAAATTTTGATATAAAAGCGACATATTACGAACAAAATATTTTGCGTAGCCACTTCTTTAAATCAAGAAGCTTAAAAGTCGGTAGATTGCATGCAATCCGAAGTTTGAGTAACATAACAATAGTCGAAGAAAGTGGGTAAGCATGCTCGACAGGCTTATTAAAAAGCCTTTAACAGAGTCAAAGGTACATAAAACAAAATGCATATTAAACGCATACATTAATATGCACATATAGAAGATCCGCAAACATTTTTTTAATAGGAGGGACAAAAGCATGGGGAAGCTATTACATTTACAAAGACGGTAATGCAAATTGATGAAATAGGATGCATTAGTATCGATACTTTTTTAACTGATTAAATGGAACATATCCATGCTTGTATATAGTCAATAGAATGTATGTAAAGCAAAAACAAAAATCATATAAATATAAAAAAAATGTAGGTATGCATGGATAAAGATTTACTTTCGCAAAAATTAGTCAATAAATAATTATGTGTCGGGCATGTAATATTCTCTTCAATATTGTTATGAAATGAAATAAATATAACTAAATACTGTTTTAAAACCTACCATAATGTTTTTACTTTTCTAGTAATAATTTTCTAATTTAATCTAATTTTCAATTTTTTTAATGGGAATTTTTAATCTAATTTTTATATCTTTCAGGAGTTTTATCCTTTTCTACGATTTTTCTAAATCTATCTGTAAATATCTTACTACTTCCTGCTAAAATAATTACAAATTGAATATAATTTTTCAAGATTGTAATTAAAAAATTTAATCTATCCTTATTCGAATTAAAATAGATAGATATTCAAGATGTAATTATCTTAACTATTATATATATTTCAATATAAACATATTGAAATACTTATTATATTATTACATCTAATAGAATATTAACAGATTATAATTAATTAATTTAAAAAATAGATCGGTACCTGTTTCAATAATAAGTCGCTGTTTGCGCTGAGACATGTCACCAAATGTTTTGTGAGTTCTAAGAAAGATGCGAGAACTTCTGTCGTAAGATGATCTCGACTTGCTTTCTGTAGCATAAAACTTATTACCAGAAACCCCCTGTTTTGTACCATGTGTTGCTGAACCGTTTGAGAACTCTCTACCAAGTCGCAAATAAACCCGAGCAATTTCGAACTGAAAAATGACATTGCGATATTTCTTGTTAATACTTTTTTTATACACATAATTCTTCAAAGCGATAACAATTAATAATATTCACCATAACGTGGGATCGCGCTTAACGTCGTTTGGTGCTATGCAGTCATAAGGCATATCCAGCTGTGAGAATAATGGAAATAGTACTTGTATACCACCTATCGAGTTTAATGTGCTGTGAATGGAGTGTGTTATGACTGCCTTGACATCCTAAAAGAGAAAGAAAATAATTTTTTATTTATTTTGGTATGTCATATCTGGAATTTATCTATATATTATTCGTAGGATAGCATATATAGATATGTGTGTGTGTGATCAAGTAAATGAAAACCGCATGTAATTATATATACTCTTTGAGACTAAACCTGCCTCTGTTCAACTGTAAGATCGTAATAATACCTGCAGCATAAGGGCGTGTGGTGTATGTACAAAATAGGAGACGTTGCCTTTCGGTGCACTCTGTAGACAAAGCTGCGAGTCTGTTGCTACTGGATTGTACATGAACACAATTGCATTCGACAGTTTTCCATCGTAAAGTACCTGGAATAATTACATATAAAATAATAAATTAATAAAATTATGAATCCTTCTAAAAATACTTATTGCATTTTTATAAGTCATTCACAACATGTTACTGTGATATCAAAATAAATGCACTACGTGTTCTTACCAGTACACAAACATTTGGAATTTCCACTACTAACTACGTAATAAGATACATACATATCATTTATATAAGAGAATCAATAATCAAGAAACTAACGTCTCCATAATTATACTGCTACTTGCCATCAATTAGCAATAAACAAAATCCTATAAAAAGAGATTATAATATATTGTACAAAAAGTTAAAGCAATACTTAAAACAAAAGTATTTTGCACACATTACATAGGTAATGTGAAAAACGGCATTCGCTAATTAAGAAAGATAAGCATCCAGTAAGGAACAGAAAAATTATAATAAAAAATAAAACACACAAATATATATACATAATATGCAAGGTTTATAATCCCAATCCCGATTTTTGTCCAAGACAAATAATATAAAACAAATCCACAAACTTATTGGTCGCAACGGCCGCCAAGAAAATGTGGTCGTAATTACCTCAGGTGAACTCGAACGCAGTAACAGAGTAATTAACAAAATACAAATCATATGTTAACGAAAAAATAAAATCAAAATGCTTACAATTTGCATACTTTGGTCCATCATGCTCGTAGAGAGATCCTGCTCACTCACCCTTTTATGATTGTCGGGCAAATTCAGGTAACACTCGTTGTCGAAACGAAACTGGCTCTGAGCGTGAATCGAAAAAGCGGCGATCAATATTCGTCCGTGAATACAAAATTGCAAAATGTCCGCGATCGATAAAAGATTTATATACCTTATATCCCGGTCCCAGTCTGTGCATCGCGCATATCTGATGCGTCGTCAGCGCTTCGCTGAATAAGTATATCGCGCTCATCTGTCCGCAAAACACGCGCTCCTCGTCCAATTCGGGAGTTGCTCCAATGTAGCATTTGTCAAAAGGCTGCAAAGACAATATTTCTTTTTCTCCGAATTCGTTATTGATGGGAGGAGGATTAGCTTTTAATATCAAAAATGTTTGCAGGCACTTACGTCATTCGTCGAAACATGCCATGTCATTTCTGTACTCGACGCCAACTGACCATTGACCAGACATTTAATTTCACTTTTCGTCCACCTATTGTATATATACACTACCGCGATCATATACCACTGCAAAATTAAAATGATATAAAAATATTTTTTTTATGCACGATTAAATGTACCTAAATTTAGAAGGCATGTCTAATAGAATACCTTTCGTGGTTGAAATTCGTATTTGACACAATGTTGGAAGCCCTTGCCCTTTATTTTCATAGAAGTCAGGACTAAGCAGTTCCCTACGAAATGCGCAGAGTATCCTACTCCTTTGCTTGTTTTAAAGCTAAAATAATGAAATAACATTATTACTTCCTACCTTTGATAAAGCCATTTTGCCTTTGGGTTTTCCTGTTGCCCTACTTTTACATTGTTTTGATTTAAAGGAAGTTTGTTTACGGAGAAAAAGAGATAGCGGGAAATATTATATTTATAAAACTTTTGAGAATTAGCACGACGCAAATAAAGTTGGAGTGAAATATAATAGTAGTTCAAAGTTTTCAGCATTGTTCTCTCTGCAATTGTATGCAAACAAAACCACACTTAATGAGTTTGATTGAAACGTGTAAGTGCTTTTCTCAAAGCTGAAAAATATAGGTGATTCTTTAAGACTACTACTCTATGTGGAGCGGGTACTTTCGCGAAGGTACTTGATGTAAGAGCACTTACCAGTAGAGGTACGGTTTTTCGCGTTCGATATTAACAGAGTTGATGGGATCTAGACGGAACCATGTAGTGAATGTAAACCCATTCTCGTGCGGCCATTTTGCGAGTGGCGGCAAGACAATCGCCTGTGGGAAACATGATTTTTATCAAGTTATCTCATCAAAAAATAGTAAAAAATATCATGAGATTAAATAAATACTGATAATTATTCAATAGTTTCCAATTCTCTATAACATTTGACAGTGTTTCTATGTATGTGTGTTTCAATAATATTCTACGTATAGTAAATATTCACATCGTGTCAATATTATTAAGGTACAGGGAAACATACGCTGTATACAGTTTCAACTTCTATCTTAACTTCCAATTCCTATTCTATCTAAGCATTTATTGGAAATATCGTATAATATAGTCCCGTTAACATATTATATTCGTTATATCTCACGTAATAAGCTCTGCTAACGGGTTTTCTAAAGTTCCGAACTGCATAAATTATTTAATTAATAATTCTGAATTTGCTGTGCCGAAACATCGTAACTATGTATAAAATGATAAGCAATGCACAGTGCTCATTATTGATAAGTTTGTGCTCAATGGCTACGGTTTCATATTCATGCATCGTTTCCCAGCATATCATTAATTTAGACATAAAATGAGAAAAAAAATAGAAAGGGTCTATCTTTCCATATTGTTGCTCAATATTAATTAACACAAGATGCATCTTTTATAATTTTAGCTTACAGATTTTATCGAGTTTATTAGTCCACGCTATATTAAATATGATTTCCAATATAATTAAGAAAGAAAATGTAGTACCCAAGTAATGAAAATTTTATTCTTATATATTTCTTATTAAACGCCTTATTAAATTTTATAAAATTTTTCTTCCTCATAAATACCGACTATTTTCCCTTAAACAATATCAGAGGAGTATTAGGTACATAGTGAATGTCAATTATTCTTATCATAATTGAAACATAATATGCTTAAGTAATATATAATTAATATCTATTACTCTTGTTATAATCTGAACATAATATACTTAAGGACGTTATATGCTACAGTGAGCGTGCATTGTTTGATCGTACGATACTAATGTTCAGGAAAGTTCCTCGCTGTGATTGATTTCGAAAATGTAAGCGGGTAGCGGAATCTTGCGAGACAAGATAAATTCTCTTATCGGAACTTTGATCGAGTTTAAAATCGAACGACATCCTTTGGGATGTCGTAAAGTAAGAAGTATCTGTTCTAAGGTGAGGGCAAACAAGAAAAGAAATCAACTTACCGACCCCTTTCTACCGGGGAAACTGAAAAATACATCGGGCCCATTCCGCTGTGGCATTTGGCGGAGAACATTTAACAGTTTCGCCGAATGCCGTGGCTGAGAAATATAAATGTTAATTAGTAGTATCTCAACATATCTGATATATCTACTGAATATTCTCTTGCAACAATACTTATTCAAATTTTTATTATGTGTCTTTTGCAGATAAATCTAAAAATTCTTACCCATTTTCCTTGAACGGCTTTCATAGCGCCGAATAAAAGTTTTAATTCTTTCACTGTTATGCTGTAGCTTGCTAGCACTCCCAGCATATCGATTAATAAATCTGTTGCAAAATGGAAAAATATTTGATATTAAATAATATAAATAGTTAAAGAAAAAAAACAAATTTCTATATATTTAATTAATCTGTGAACCTTTAATATCTGTGATTGTAGAATCTTTGTTATCTGTGATTGTAGAATTTTTGATATCTGTGATTGTAGAACAAAATTTATTTTATAATAATTTTATCATATTTTTTGAGAAACTACAATAAATTAAATTTCCGTTTTTCAGTGATATCAAACTTAATTGAAACTCAATTTACTTACCGGCGACAACAGTTTCCGCACGAGATAATCGATGTAGAACGTGTTCTATGAGACTCACATCTGTACATGCTTGTAAGTTTCTGACGCTTTTTCTCAGGATCGCGATAAAGACACTCCATATTTCGGCCTGAAATCAAAATATCGCATATATATATATATTATTTATTTGCATTTGTAGTACATATTACAACTAGTAACATTTATAAATTTATAAATAAAGTAATATTTTATAAATTCTATAAAACAATTATTAATAGAAGTATAATAGAAATATAATATATAGAACATTCTTTTTCGACCGCTGTATATTTTTATATTATTAAATGTACATATAATATGAGCATGTACTTAAATTTTTTTTAATTATTGGTGATCAAAGGATATAACAAACAAGTCATGTATAAATTATTACTTGGCTGAAATGGAATTTCATTTTGCATAATGGCCATCGTAAATCGCTTGCTAAAGTCATATAATAGCCATTGAAGAATATTAATTAAAAACATGCTGGGCGTTTATTATTATACTCTTATTTGCATGAAAATATACTTTCGTTAAAAACATCAATGTTGATAATAATAATATTAATAATCAAAATCTTATTAGCTATAATTTAAAAAATTTTTTTCTTTTATTTAAAATTTCATACATTATTAATAGAAATTCCATTTCTCTTATAAAATGTAAAAGTTTTATAAAACTGTAAAAATGTAAACGTAAAAGTTTTATATTATTCATAAAAAATTAAATTTATATTTTACAATATTTCACATTTTATGTTCCTTAAAATATTTAAAATTGTATTATTTCTCTGCTTTCATATATATGTGCAATAGTAAAAAATTACAGTAACATTGTTTTAATTATGTGTATAATTATTACAACTTGCCTCCGGATACTCATTCAATTCACGGAAAAAAAGTTAAAATTTGATTGAATTGTATGTATTTTATTTCGTCATACGGCTGCGAGAACATCATACCTTAT